GTATAAATATAACCATACGAAACACATTGATAATAAATGATTTTATTGATGCAAATTTGTCGCGAAAAATTTTGTGATGAAAGAGCATAAATGAAAAATGAACCAAAAAATATTATTTGAAAAATGGAATTTATATAAATATAAATATAAAAATGAAAAAAAATGAAAAATTTGAACTTGAAAAATGGAATTTATGAACATGAACTTGAAAAATGGAATTTATATAAATATAAATATAACCATACGAAACATATTGATGATAAATGATTTTTTGCTCAATTGACCATATCTCCTTTAAAGAAGTGGATTATTTTCCAAAAGGTTTAAAATCTTTTGTGTTATAATTGTGAGCAACGAATTCAACAAAATGGTCAATTGAAATAACATATGACAAGTGTCACTGCAAATAACAAGAATTATCGAAATGAAACAATACATTGTTGAGAATTTTAGCGTAACTTAACGAATACATCTGATAAGCAAATTGATAACGTGATAAAGATTACTGATGCGTAAGATGAAAGAATCAATGTTCAGAAAATGGATAGGTGAAGACATGTTCAGAAATGATAAACATGAACTTAGATGGAAATATATGAGCCCTTATATAGCAAATAAGTGAATAGGATTTACAATGTCTATAAGGAATGTCACAATGTCCTCTTTGTCCATTACTGTATATAGATAGTTAATATAGATGAAAATTTAAATATTACAATTTGATATCAGTCATAGCTAAATTGTGGAATCCTACATCGGGTTTTCCGACAGGATTACCGGCAGGATTAATAATGAAGTTTTATGCATTAAAACGTTTGTACAGAAATAATATTTTAAGTAAACTACTTCAATTGCAGTTTTAATTACAAATAATTGCAGTTAAGTTTATTGTTCGAATGAATGATTTAATTATGTGTCAATAAACAATTACTAATTTGTTCAAAATTAATTATTAATTCATTTTAAAAAAATTATTTATTCACTAATTTATTTTATATGTATTTATCAAATTGTTTTATATTTATTTAATTTTGCATTTTTTTTTTTTATGGCTGATTATTTATAATTAGCTATTTTTTGTTACTAAATTTGTAAGGTTATATGATTTTCGTTAATTATTAAAGCAGATATTGGGAAAGAAAAGTAATCATAAGAGAAATTAATGAGAATAACTACTAATTATGAGATCTTTGAACGATAATATTATAGATCTTATATTATGACCTTGACCTTAAAATATGAATCTAAATGGATGGTCACTGATCATATTGTTCATATTTCAACAGTTGCAATATTTCATTATGCAACACTTAAATTTTAATTAATATTTTACAATTTCAAATTGTTTCTTTACTATTCTAATTTTTTAAATGAAAATTATTATTATTTTTGTTTTATTTACCAAAAAAATTTTTTTGAATTAATTAAAAAAAAAAGAAAAAAAAAATCATGTCTCATATAAAATGAAGGAAATATTTGAGGGGGAAAAATTCATAAAAATTACTTCAAGCATTTGTTCAACTTTTCGTTACAGTATTCTATATTTGCTAACCTATATTTGTATTCGATATTTGCTCTTTGCTAACCTATTTTGATTTCTTAAATGAAAATTGTTATTATTTTCGTTTTATTTACCAAAAAAATTTTTCCGAGTTAATAAAGAAAAAAAAAAAGAAAAAAAACATGTTTCATATAAAACGAAGATAATATTTGACGGGAAATTTTATTCTTTAACTAAAATTTTCCTTCAAAAATTCCTTTATATTTGAAATATTTAAATACTCAATTATAACATAGTATTTCTTTCTTATTGACAATATTATTTTTTAATTTCAAATTCCATTCCACTTTTTTTTTTTGCGAATTTCTGATAACTTTTTTCATTTGAAATGAAAAAATTTCAAATTCCATTTCTTCTTTTTTTTTTGTCAAATTCTAATAGAAATCAAAAAAAGGAAAAGCTGCAAATAGGGAGTAAAGTGTTAAAATTGAAGATTTAAAAAGATTTTAACTGTTAAATTTGAAGATTTAAAAAGGTTTGAACTGCTAAATTTGAAGATTTAAAAAAGTTTCAACTGCTAAATTTGAAGATTTAAAAAAATTTCAACTTCCCATGATGGATAATCACAAAAATATCATTGATCGAGCTCGAATTACAATATTTATATCGGTTTTTTTGCTTACAATAATGAGCATTATATATATATCGTTGTTTCTACGCATTGAACGTACAAAGCAACATTTGCAAAAACGAATGGCAATATTAGAGGTATAAACTATAAGTTTTTTTTTTTTTTAATAAACTTAAATTCGAAAATTTTTTTAATTCACATTTTGTAATCATTTTAAATGAATAATAAACACAAATTTATTTATCATGAAGATAATTTTGAAATTTTTAATTGTTATGAACAATTTATAAATTCATTATATGCTAATTTCATCCAATCATTTATTAGCTACAATAAATGCTTCAAAACTGATGTATAATTCTTTTTTGTTCAGTTATTTAATTATCAAGGAAAAAAAAAAGGCTATTCAAATTGATTTAAATCAGTCTGCTGATTATTTCCATTCTTATGAAATCCTAAGAATGAAGAAATTTTATTTTTATCAAATGCTTATTTATGCTGATTTGATGGCAATCAAATTAGAATGCTAAACAATAATTGACTAATTTTTAGAAAAATATACTGTAGCGATGGAATAAGAAGGAAAAATAAATGAAATATACTTGGATAAAAACGATGAATGTAAATAAAGAATAAAATTATTATCAAAATTTCAATTTCATAATTATAGGAAACAAAACGAAACATTTGGATAGATGTTCTTGCATTACGAAAAGCTCAAACTATAAAACGAGGTAAATTTAGTGCTAACATAATTGTAACTTTTTTTTTTCTCATTGATATAATTTGATAAATTTTGTGGTAAAATATTAAATTTACTTAAAAAAAAAATCATACCGTGATTTTTATAATTGAATGTTTTAACGAAATGTAAATTTTGTCAAATAATTTTCACTTATAAAGAGTGAGATAATATCATTTAGTTGCAACAAAAATTTTTATTTTAAAATTTCAATTTGCCTTCTTAGATGTTTATCCGGAACATCTCATGACGAATGAATATCAACAATGCATGTCATGCATCAGTTTACAATGTCCACCTGGACCTAGAGGACCGCCAGGTTTAGATGGAGAACCTGGTATAGATGGTCTTCCTGGTAGACCAGGTAAGGCTGGTATCGATGGAATTGATATACTAGGTCATGCTGAACCTAATTTCCCTTGGTTAGTTTCTAATGATGATGGTCCAATTTAATTCTGCTACTTGAATCAACGATGTAAAATTCGAAGATGTTGAAATTGAGAAGAGGGGAAGTGAATAGCAAAGGTTGAAAAGGAGGGAGAAGAAGTGGGAGAGGACAGAGAGTACTTTGAGTTATGTATTTTGCCTTTTCCTTGATGTGTCAGTGCTTTTCTTCTCTGTAAAAAAATTTGAATAATTCAGTCTAAAAACAGCAAATTGCAGCGTAATTTGTCCTGCAGGACCGCCGGGCAATCATGGAGAGCAAGGAGAGCAGGGTAGACCGGGTGCTCCTGGAAAAGTCGGACCACCTGGGTTGCCTGGTAAACCAGGGTTACCGGGTCGAGTGGGACCACCAGGATTGCCAGGTAAGCAAGGTGAAGAAGGCGATGCTGGTATCAAAGGATCACCCGGTGATGATGCTATCGGTGGAGTGGGCATCAAAGGGTTGCCTGGACCACCAGGACCTCGTGGTCCTAAAGGTCCCCCTGGACCGAATGGTATTGCTTCGAATGATGTAGGACCTCCAGGGCCTATCGGTGAAACAGTAAGCTTTCATTTTTTTTTCCACTTTTTTCAAAATATAACAAGTACAAGGGAAGTCTTGAATTACGTAATTCCATTATTTTCTAGCAAAAGAAATTCATCATATGATTTATTAATTTATTATTCCAGGGACCTCGTGGCCCACCAGGAAAGCGTGGTGAGTCGGGACCGCCAGGGCCAAGTGGGCTACCAGGAGAAGTAGGCCCACCAGCAGGACATTGTGAATCAGATTGCGGTATCCAAGAAGTAATAGCACCATCTATTCTGGAGTTAGATGCCTAATAAATGAGGCTTAAGGTTCGTGGTAATAAAAATATATCGTGAATTCGAAACTTTGTTGATGAATAGATTCCTTGAGTCCACTTTATCGAATCATGCACTTTTTCTTCTTTATACATCCAATTGAATGTTATATCACTTTCTACCCTCAAATAATAATTCAAATGATGATTGACAATATCGTGCAAAATCTGCAAAATCAATCGTGAAATTAGTATACCCTGAAATGAATTGAACCATTTAGCAAATAATTCAGATTTGATAGTATCTGCCAAACATTTTCAACCAATTAACATCAATTACTAACTAAATACTTCTTAAATCATCACATGAAATAAAGCAAAAAAAAAAAAAGATAAATTTTTGTTTGAACAAAAGACTGTCTTACGATAAAATTACATAAATTGACGAATAAGGATGAAAATTGCAAATCTTTTCCAAAGGTAATCGAAGTTCTATGGTATTTTTATTTTTTCATATCTATTTTTGGATATTTCATCAATCTGTTCCGATGCCATTAAGAATTTAAAATTTAAAGTGTTTCGGGAAAATTATTAAAAATCATTAAATTATCACATAAAATAAAGCAAAAAAAAGGATAATTAAAATATTGTTAGTGGAAATCAATCCCCATTGTTATGCAATTGTCTTAAAAATCTTCGAAATTTTTATGACGAAAACACTTAATACTTTCATTTTAATCTGATCCTTTAATATTCGCAGAAATTTCTTCCGTTGCATTTGAATAATTTCCATTGGTTCATTAAATTGATGAAAGATAGATATCAACATCTTACTCAATAATTCGCTTGCATATTTAACATGAATAAACATCTTATGTTCATCTCTTCCTGAATAAAATTAATTTTGATTTTCTTTTTAAATTTGAAGTGGTAACAACAATTTTAATAAGTAGTTGTTTTCATAGATGAAAACACAACATTCATCTAATATTCGAGAAAAAAATATGCTATGCAATTCAGCTCTTTAGAGAAAATAAAGAATTATATTTTTGATCAAATTTCATTTTCATTTTGATTCATCTTCCGTTTTGTTTTTTTTTTTTGTTTTTTTGCAAAAACAAAGATGAAAATGCTTTATAAGTAACGATTACAATATTGTGGGTTATAAAAGAGAGATAGGAAAGGAAAATAAAGAGGTTAAAAATAGTTTGCTAAAAGCGAATTGATTACATTTTTTGAAAGTAATATGAAACGAATTTAACTAATCTTATTTTTCTCACATTATTGTGAAAATCTTATCTAAATGAAATGGAAGATAAAAATTTTTCAACATTCAACGGAAACTTTAAATAAGTTCTGAAATTTGCACTTAAATACACCAATAAAATGATAAAGTTAGCCCATTCAGACATTTTAATGACTTCCTTGAAAAAATGAACAATATTAACAATTTTAATACTTATCATTACAGCTAATTTTACTTGGAAATAATTTTAAAAAAAAAGTGCATTACTAACAAAAAAGAATAACTGATAACATAACTGAAAATTAATGGCAAAAAAAGTTAAGACATGACTTTTTCATTCGACTAAAAAAGTAAAAGTTACAATTTTCCACAATTATCAATTTATTTCTCTATGATAATATAACAAAAAACCAACATAATAAAAACTATAAAATAATAATATAAATTAATACCTCATAGCACTTTTTTTGATGGATTAAAAATTAAAAACCTAATTTTTAAAACTGTAAATTCTAGTACAACAATCAATAATACATAAATGCAAGGTAAGAATCTGCAAATAACTTATGTAAAGAATTGAGGTTAAAAAAAATGTGATAACTTATTATCACTTCATTTTCAATTTGTTTTTAATTAGTTAAAGATATTTGTTGCTGTTACAACTATTACATCATTCTAATTTATTTATTCACTTCATCTTTTTTTTTTCTCCTTTTCTTCCCCAAATAATTATCAGTTCATTTTTCTCGAACGGTAAAATATTGCAGCACTGGATAGTGATATCTGTTCTTCATTACGTGAACTGTGGTTTGATTTCAAAAAAAATTGAATAATTGAATTTGATGTATGCATTTATAATAACATTGGTGATATTTTGTACAAAAACATATTTCATTGTAAAACATTTTTAATTTGATATTATTTAAGAAAAAGAAAATAAGGTGTGAGAAGATAATGATAGAAAATTTCACGATGGAAAGAATGGAATAGATTAGCTCTCTGGATCCTTTAATAACTAACCATTCTATCTCATTCACCAACAAAGATGGAAATAGAAATATGCTAGCTTCAATATACCATGTGTAATTTTATGATTTCATTTTTTACCTGAACAGAAACATCAATCAGTAACCATTTCAGTGTTCTTAAAGGGACAAAGATTAACTCCTGAATAGACAAACCTTAATCGATGTATACCGACTCCGATATTTAAAAGAACAACCCCAGACCCCTCAAGGATTACTACTCCTCAATCACCGAACTAAATTTAAAACGAACCAAATTTTACCTTAGCTACTTCCACTCCTCTTCTTGCCATTTACCATATTATGCCAGGTATTTAATGGCTGGCCGATGTTTAGTAACTCACAGCTATTACAACGACTCTGAGTAATATTGCGACGCAGAAGTTTTATCATTTATTATTCATATTTTTAAGATAAATATGTTCTACTTGTCTATAAGTTTAACTTATAAAGTATGATGGTGACATATATTCTTGGATGAAGATTATTGTGATATGGCTAAACATCGTAGATCATTTTCTTTCTTGTATTATGTCCGTTTGTTCTTTAACTACTTCATGTTACAATATTTGATGGTATATATTTGTTCTTTCTGTTGCTAAATTGTTACTAAATTTGTCTTCAAATTGTTATTAAACTGGCACGAAATGTTGCTAGATTTGTTACTAAATTACTAGAATTGTTATAAAATATTACTGAATCGTTACTGAATTCGATGCCGTAATGAGTTGTTAAGGGAAGGGAGTGATAAAGAGTGCATATTCTAGTTTTCTTTGATTATTCTCTATAATAACGTGGTTAGATTAAACTGAAGAAATCATGAATTAAGCAATTTAATTTGGATTCCAACAAAAGGAAAGTTACTCAACTAAATACAGAATGTTGGCCAGATACATTAATTATTGTCATTGTAGAAGTTGCTGTCGATCCAGTTTTCCAAGATATTGCTATGTATCATACTTTTAATACCTATTATTATCATCAGACGAGACTTTCCAAAAAAACTTATTAAGATTTAAAATTGAATTGTGGAGATTTAGTTAGTTTGGTAATACTCAGTGGTTAATTACTTGTTACTTAACTGTTACGTTTTATTTGCGTGAAACATTGTTAAAGTTAAAAGAAGACAGGGAAAAAATAATACCAGATAATGAGATCAGTCATTTCAAGCCCAAGTAAATTTAGCAATTCAATAACTCATTACTCATTTATGACGTGATTGTCAAAAAATTCTTCAGTAACATTTATATTTAATTTATTTCTCTAATCGTTTGTTTAATATGCATGTTAATCAGTGTATGGATTTTTCTTCTACAACTCAGTTATGCCTAACATCGTTCTTAGGTTATTATCGTGTAGATAATATTATCATTCATCTTTTCTATTACTTTATTATATTACTTCAGAATATGGGGTACGAGCTGAATATCCTGAATATCCTGATTTTTGTGTGCTTTACATTTGGTCCTTTGTGGATTATTTCTCCAAAATTCAAGTATTACTTCAAAGTAATCCTTTATACGATTTGTCTGATGATGGCTGGAATAATTGGTGCATGTCTTTCACTGCCAAATGGAAGGACACCTAAAAATCATTGATAAGTATTTGTTTCACTTTTGATGTTTCTGAAAGGGAACCTATAGCTAAGTTCCTTTTTTTGTTAATTCATTAAATCCATTAGAACATTTATTTCTTTGTTCACTCATCTGATATCAATCAAGGTTGAAATAATTGAAATAATCAGTTTGAAATAGACGTTGTAATATGTCTTGTTCAGGTCATTGTTCGTTTATTATTAACTAATAGAAAAAAACATACAGTAGTGTCAAAACCTCCCTGTTAGACTTCAAAAGTAGCATTCAAATTTCCGGAGTTTCGATGTATTTATAGGAGTCATTGATACAGTTTTAATGTTTAGTGTGTATTGCTATAAAATATTGTTAGTTAGTCTGAATTATTTTGCAAGAATGATTTAAAATTTATATTTCGACAACTTCGATTAGTGTATTTCATCATGGTATGATAGTGATATCAGTTGGACAGTATCGAAGCGCTTGTCTTTGAAGTTCCAAGAAAATTTAGAAAAGCATCGCTTATGCGTACGGTAAAACATGACATTGAACATAGGAGTCGCAGAGGCTTAACGCTGTATTGCGAACCTTTCTCAAAAAGTCATTGCAAATTACACTGAGTGGATGACTGAATAATCCTAATGATATTATATGTATATGAATCACATTGTTTTAGGCATACTTTTCGTGCTTTTCAATTATTAACATTTTGGTGTGGTCTATCTTACGAAATACGCAACCGAAATTTCATCGAAATCGACAATTCGTTTATTGTCGTTGCAAACCATCAAACTTTGCTAGATGTTTTAAGTATGATTTATTCTTGATAATCCTTTTTTTCCTCATCTAAAATTAATTAAATTGTTCGATAAATAGAACGTGAGATTTTTAGGGTAAAACTCGAACTTAGAATTAAGGTAATCAAAATTAAATTTCAGGTCCATCTTAGTAAGCGAAGTTTTTTATTAATTAGTCGAAAGGCCCCAAGCACATTATTGTACTGTATTTCAAAGGCCATGTTTTTGCAGGTTATATTCGAAATGTTCAAGAAATACTATTACCGGCAGCTTTCTTTGACATAGGCTGTATGGCGATAGTTCGTACAGCTCTCAGGTTGCTGATGTCGTTTGAAAATCTAAGTGGTCGGACCCACATGTAGTATTATTACATCCTAAACTATCAGTAATGATTCAACTAGGTTTTGATTAGGTAGCAGATAAACTTCCATCATTCAAATCAAAATAGTCTATTTTTTGCTCATGTAAGCATATTTTTCAGCTTTAACCCATGTTTGGCCCGAAAACTGCGTTGTTTTATTGAAGAGTAGTTTGAAATTTATGCCCGGTTTCAATGTCTGTGCATATCTTTGCGAAGCCATTTTCATAGATAGATTCAATAAAGCCGCTTCGCACAAATCGGTTGAGCAAGCAATCTGTGCAGTACGAAATTATGTAAATCTTCGGATTATTTCACTTCCATCATAAAATTTTTTGTTTTTTTACCTTCTGTTACTGATTCTCAGAAAATGTTATGATTAAAAAAAAATAATTCTTTTCCGTAACTGTTTATCTAGCCAGTATTGAAGATATCGTTTGAATTTATGCTTTATTTAGCTACTACCAGTAGTTTAGTTTTCCTGTCTCTTTTTTCTTCTAAAGAAATGGTAAGATGAAAATGGGAGCAAGGAAAGTGCAAGGGACTATTTGTGATTTGCACTCGTGAAGGATGCTTTGTTTTTTTCACTCTTTTTTCTTTATGTTCTTTATTTTTTAAATTCTCTTTTTTTTTCTCTACTGAAAATCGTTCTAGTGTGTTACTTCAGAGAAAAATATGGATATTTCCGGAGGGGACAAGAAACACGAGTGGTACAATGCTCCCGTTTAAGAAAGGTGCTTTTATTATAGCACGTGCAGCCAATGTATGTCCCCAGTACTTTTTTCTATTTTATTTGAATTGATAAAGTCAGTAGTTCCTTTTTTTATCCCATGAATAAAACTGTATTTAATCGAATCTCATCATTTTCGATGTATGGGGCTGCAAAAGTGAATACTTAGTTTTTAAGTTAACAACATTATTGATTTTCTACGTCACTACCTAATGATATTTTTACAGGTTCCAATCGTTCCAGTAGTAATTTCATCGTACCAGTCATTTTATTGTAAAGTAAGCTTTTTGTACTTAATCTTCCTATGTTATACTTTGCTACTTCTGCTAGTGTCGTGTTTGTGTAATACTTACTGTCGCAGATGTTAGTTCTGCCATGTCTTAGAATCTATAAATAGGCCTTTTTTTTCAAATCCATTTCAGGATGAATATAAATTTGACTATGGCGGCCGTGTAATAATTGAAATTCTTCCGGCAATTGACCCATTCGCATATTCCGACATTGACAGCATGAGCGAAGAATGTCATAAACAGATGGAAAATGTTTATCGAAAAATAAGCAATGAATTGTATTCGAAATAAAGGATAGTCTCGATTCTTTTTATGGAATCATTTTATTGTATTACTTCGATCCAGAAGAATTGGTTTCGATTGTTTGTAATTAGTTCTTCATTTTCCATGATTAATACCATTCAGTATAGTTTTATTTTCAGTGCACTGCTTAGAATATTGTTGAAGTGCTAACACAAGTGAGCATTTTTTAGCTTCCTGATTCTTTCCAATTTTTTTTCCTTCATGGATACTTGTATATACTTACCATTTTCTAAAAGGTTCTCTATATCTTGAGCATTCTAATTTTGTACGAAGTTCTCCCTGTTTCATCGAAATATCGGTCCACCGATTCATATACGTCCTTATTTGGAGAGTAATGTTCTTGAGAACTTGACAGGTTTTTTAGACTCCACAATACCGGTAATGCGATCAAGTAGCCTTATAAAGTCTTTTCAGGAAAAATGACACAGATCTATATTTTGATAAGGATGGAAATTAATGATGCACTTTTCATTTGTTTCATATGCTTATTTGAATAATTTGGAAAATGAATTGGAAACTTAGTTTGTAATACTCAAGGACAAATCAATAAATTGCACAGGATTCAATCATTCGGATTGAAATTTTAGAATCTTTATGTTAGAAAATCTTTTGATGGAAACTGCACTAATATTTTTTTTAAAAATATTATGCTAAATGTAATCGACGAATGTTCGGGTATCTTAATCAAAGATAAGCATTTGCGAATTAAAATTGGAAATTTGGTTATGACCAAGTTATGGTAATAGATTGATATAGTGATTAGAAAGTGGCCAGCAATGATCTAGTGTTATAATCAGATGCTAGTGTAGGAAAGCATATTTGCCATAAATTTCACAAGAATAAGTGGAAAGTCCTTTCTGTCAGCGAATATTTCTTCGTCCTCAGATGTTTTGATTACTACTCATGATTTGCAACTTTTGCAATTCCTATTTTATTGTTGAAATTCCATTCTATCCTTTTTTTTTGTCGTTTTGTTCACGTAAAATGTTGCCCACTTTCTTGTGCATGTTTTTCTAAGTTTGAGTTTAAATAAAAATGTTATACTTTTATTCTGAGGACAAAATAATTCTTAAAAAAAAAAAAACTATGATAGAGATTGAATTTTAAATTGACGATTCAACATAGACGAGTGTATGAAGTTCTTAGTGTTTATATTATTTATTTACTGCTATATTAGATTTGTCTAGTTTGTAGGCATAGTTTTCTTTTTATGTCTAAATTAAACGTTGAGAAGAAATTTTCAAACAGGTTTTCAGGAAATATTTAATTTTTCAGGAAATATCCTGGAAAATGTCCTGCCTTTCAATATATTAATGAGAATTGCAGAAATATGAAATCGTACTACGTTAGTCGCATCTTTCATTCATTCGTTATGTTGCATTTATCCATTGATCACTCTAACTTACTCATTTTAGCGTTTTACGTTCTATTTTATAAATCAGTTATTCCTCGTTTAAAATGAATGTTTGCTTGACGGGTTACGTTATTTTATAAGCAATTTCATTTTCTCGTTTTTCTTTTTTTTCCAAATTTATAGAGTGGTTCATTGATATATGAATTTCTTAAAAAATGAAAAAATGATCAACCCCATAAATCAATTCGTAAAAGAGAAAACGTTGTAAAATCAATCCGTTATCAAGGAAACATACTTCCACTTTTTTTCTTTGACTCTAATAATGCATTTCAAATGTTACAGTTTAATGACATTTTCCATCTGCGACTTAGTACTTACGGCTAGTAAATATTTCGAACGTACGTTTTAATTTTTTACATACTACTTCGTCAGTATTTTGAAATCTGGCTAATGAATATTTGAAAAGTTTTATCATACAGCATCCTTAATATCCTTTTATATTCATGCAGTTTCCTGGAAAGGATATATATTTCTTGTCAACATGATGCTAATTAATAATTCCAGATCATTTTTATAGCTGTTTTAATTGATCTTGTAATTTTGTTGTTTCGCTTTTAATCCTTGCAATTAAATTCTTATGTATCTACCCTATAAAAAAAATCAAGCTGTAAGATTTTCAGGCTTATTATGAATGTTGATTTATGTAAGCAAGCAAATGAACTGGCTAACAGTGTCATACTCAGCACTGTTCTCATTGTTATAATTATCATATCAACTACAGCAATTGCTCTGGAAATGTGGATAATGTTTAAAATAACAAATCGTATTTTATTACATCAAAATACTCGAATTTTAATTATCACACAT